ATATTTATATATATAGTCTATATATTGTTTCTATATATAATATACATATTTTTATATATAGTCTATATATTGTTTCAAGGCTTTTTATTTCCAATGTGTCACTCAACTGTGGTAACAGTGGTGAGCTTTAGTTCAGTGAATTTGGAAAGCAATGGATATATGATCTTTCCACTAGTTTATATAATTTAGATTTGAATTTCTGCACATAATGCTGAATAAGAACAGCAGTGTCATGCAATTTGTGATATCATGTTTTCAGCTTGTTAGAAAAAAATGCACTAAAATAGCAAGTGTAAAGAGAAGCAATGATATAATTTGACAGTATGTCATATATGAGTTTCCCTTGCTTTAATCATTATTGAGACATAGCAGGACTGTGGTATGCAGTAGAAACTGGGAGTTTGGTTCACTCAGACCCTTTTGAAACACTTTGGTTCCTGGCACTGCCACAGTGAACAACTGACATGATGCTGCTGTTCATTTTTAGAAAACCAGCATGTTTTCTTCTTTGGTAGAAGCTCCTTTTGGCCCTACTTCTGATCTAATTTTTACTTCTCTACGGAACAGATATGATCTAAACTTTTACCCTATAAATAATATTTTCCTAAACTAGTAGTCACTAAAATCAGCGGCTGTACAAAATTTGCAACTGCTGAGGAAACTCAGTGATTTAAAGTATGAAGCTTTGCTGATACGGGGACAGAAGTAGATTTTCTGATTGTAAAGTTCGTTAATTTTACTTCTATTCACGGGATTTCAGGAATTTGGTTTTACACTGCCTTATGCAAGTGTTTATGTGCTCAGCAGCATTCAGCACAGCTGCCTACTGAAGTAGAGCAGTAAAAATTCGAAGGCAGCTGTGCATCAGATTTCACCAGCACAGAAGAATAGTGACTTTGTGCTAAGACCTGAATTGTACATTCATTTTTCTGTAAATGCTGTATGTTAATGAAATGGTGCTTTTTCTGGTTTGGCACTGAAAGGAAGTGTACTCACCAGAGGCCCAGGAGGGCCATCCTGACCTGGCGCTCCAGGTAAACCTTGTTCTCCCTAGAAAAAAAACAAAGTTTGTTTTACCAGAGGATATACAAGAAATGCAACATTTATATTATTACTATATGCTCTGCTTACTTACCACAGGGCCAGGAATGTCCAGGTTTCCCTGCAGGTCCTTGTGGACCAACAGGACCTGTTTTTCCAGGAGCCCCTTCTGCACCAGGTTCACCCTAGAAAGAACATAGCAACAGAGATCAGATTGGAAGAGCTGACTAAGCGTGGCACTGTAGGGAGCTACAAGCTGCAAAGTGAGAGCCAAGTTTCCTCACTCGATTTTTTAAAAGCTATTCTAGAAACTGTGTTCTGTACTGGGCAGGGTTTTGAACAGTATTTTGATAGCTTCATATAAAGATGTGGTGCTGCCAGTAAAGCAGGCTCATCTTGCTTTTCTGCAGCGGTGAGCTAAGCTGGGCTTGCACTGTGAGAGTCCACCATGTACTTGATTATGCACTGCTACTAATTCTGGAGTTTAATTAGGATTTTATGGTTTACCTAATACTGGTTTGGTTAAGTTTCACAGTCAGTGCATGAGAAGGAATTTACTTTTCATTTATATATAGCTTACATTTATATGCTTTCAAAAAAAATCTTGACTGTATTACCTTGGCACCTTTTTCACCTTGTCTGCCTTCAGCACCAGTTGCTCCTGGAGGTCCCTGTAAAACATGGAGATGAAGCTCATAATCTCAGGTTTCTAAAACACCACCTAAAAAATCTCTAAGAATGTGATTTCCACTGTATTAATAAGTAGTAAATGCTAACTAAATTTCTCTCTTGGCATTTTATTCACAGGATAAAAATCCCAATCTGTCCTACCAGCTCTTTCTCTTGATAAAATTTTCTGGGTTTTTACAATATCTAAAAGAATATACATGGCGTAACACCTCTGATATGATTAAAAACAAAGAAATAGCTTGGAAAAATCAAAACAGGAAATAAAAAGAACAATCTGAATTTACATATACAGTAACAGTTATAAATTTGCTTTGCATTGGTTTCTACCTATTCGTTGTAATTTATCCACTGATTCCAAAAGGGCATGTGCACAGAATGGCATATAATTCTTTATTCTAAGTCAGGGATGGGCTTAGTAAGCATTTGATGACATTTGGACAGCCAAAAATTGATACATGCCTTAATATTATCGAGTAAATATGGAAGAGGGAAAAATAATCACAAGTAGAGGTTGTAAGGAATGAAATGAAGATACTTACTACAAGTAGCTCTTGGTACCAGGTTTCCTGGTACCTTGGTACCTGGATACTGGTCTACAAAAGCTCTGTTTGACTAAGAAGATAGAACTTGGTATTGCAGGAGGATGTAGAGATGGGATAAGGTTCAGGTGAAGGCCACAAAACAGGAGTTGCAGTTGTATGGCAGCACTGTGAATACCTATTGCTGATGTCACACATCTTTCATTTTCTTAGGGTTTCAATGAAAAATAAAAAGACATTTTTCTCCTCCAAAACATCAAGGAGTGATTTTCAGCTCAGGGAATTAATATGCATAGCTTCAGTTATGAGCAGCAGCAGTATCTAGAATCTAATGTACTCTGCTGAAAATGGTTCTCATATATATACTTAGTTTAGAAAAGGTGCAGTCAAGATAATAGACCAACTGTTTCCTACGAGGTTTATTTTTAGCATGTGAAATGTCTTTATTACAAGTGGCCATTTCTTGCCAACCAATAAGCAGCTTAAAGCAAAAGGAAGGAAAAGGGACTATGATCAAATATAAGGTGATCTTCTGAATCTATAAAACTTACTTCCTAAGACTCAGCTATTCACTAATGCCACAAGCAGTTTGCTATGTAGAAATTTATTTACTGCTTTTTACTTCATAACAAGAGGCAATAAAAAAAATGCAGGTCCCTAAATTTTACAGATGAGACCTGTTCTTGCGGTCAAGCATGTACCTGTATGCTTTGTGAGCTCTGGGTTTTAGACTAGAGTTTGACCTAATAGCAACTTTTTGTACTAGAGCTGAATTCAGCCTAAACTTTTTATAGCCTAATATATTCCATCATCCACTATTATTAGCACATATCTTAAGCAACTCAAACACTTTTAATGTAGTTCCTAGAAACAGATATTCTTTTTATAACTATTTCCATAGAAGTATATTAAGATCACTCATTTGCTTCTGAAATTAAGCTTTCTCCAGGGTGGAACTGAACATCTGCAGCCCTGTATGAACCTTCTGGCCAAAAGAGAGAGTTCATAGAATCAGAGAATAGTTAGGATTGGAAAGGACCTTAAGATCATCTAGTTCTAACCACCTTACCATGGGCAGGGATGCCTCACACTAGACCATGTCACCCAAGACTCCATCCAACCTGGCCTTGAACACTTCTTTGAGCAACCTGTGCCAGCACTTTACCACCCTCACAGTAAAGAACTTCCTTACATCTAACCTGAACTTCCCCTGCTTAAGTTTGAACCTGTTACCACTTGTCCTATTGCTACAGTCCCTGATGAAAAGAAGTTCAGGCTTTCCACCAAAGGTAATGCAAAATGAATTGAACTACCCACAGCAGTCCTTGGTCATTTGTTTGGCTATCAACAGGTTGTTCTCTTTCTTTGGTGTTTTTCAGAGCTGTAAGTGGTAAAAGACTTAATTCTACCTCTTCAAAATACAGAGAAGCTAAAAAGCCCTGGGCAGTGTGGGCAAGTTGCTCACTCTTTAAAACAGGAAGAATAATTCAAATCACTCCTGTTCCAGTAATAATCTCTGGTGCATATACCCCTTTGTGTAGATTGCAATTAGTTGGGTGGATTGCAGTTTGCAGCGATAACAAGAAAACTGATTAGCAGGTATATAAACAAAGTCAGGAGCATTTTAGAAACAGGACTTTGTTGTTGTTGTTGCATGAATTAGTTTACATGCCCATTGTCTTTACTGCATGAAAATTCCTTGCACTCAAGTTCCCATACGGATTATAATCTACCTAAGAAACCAAAAAGGGTTGAGTGTTGTAGTTTGTATTTGAGAACTATGGTCTCTGCCTAATCTAGAAATGCAGCTGCAACATGAATTAACAGGGCTAAAAACACTGTGATTGCTAAATTACAAATGCAGTGAATGATGATTGCTGAACAAAGGGGGTGCAGTCATTATCAACCAGTGCCAGCACAAAGCAGCTCAATGAACTGCTCTAACAGGCGGCGATTGCTGGCATGGCACAGATGGTGCTTCTACACCATCTAATTATTATTTATCTTACCTTCCTACACTTGAGCTGTTGAATGTCTGGCAAATTTTAACTGACAGAAAAGATCCCAATAACAATAATTTTAAACTAATGCGAGGCTCCCCACTCTCCCCACCCCAGCTATCATGGTGATTTTTATGATCATTACACTATAAATCTGGACCTGATAAATTTTATGCAGAATGGAGAAGACAAAGGAACTCATAAAGGAACAAATTTGTCCTCAGTTTTTGTTACATGAACCTACTGGGCATTTTTGTTTGCTATACCCTATTTCATCAGTTAATTAAAATGATTTGTTGTTTATAGCTGTTTGTCATCTAAGACATGAAAAGGAAGTCAGGCAAAAACTCCAAGAGGCCTGCACAGATCCTGGACAGCTCCTGGACAAAGTCAAACACAAAAGGAAACCTGTATGGGGTGGAAGCAAGGACAGGAAGCCTGGGAGGAATACAGAAAATTATCTGAGCAGCCAGGGATCAGATTAGGAAAGCTGAAGTTCTGACAGAATTAAATCTGGCCAGGGATGTCAAGGGCAACAAGAAAAGCTCCTATAGGTACATTGGTGATAAAAGGAAGTCTAAGGAAAATGTGGGCTAAGTCACAGAAGGCAAATGCAGGGACTGGGAGAATGGAGGACCTCTTGCTAGAGATCAGGTTCAAGACCATTTAGTGAACCTGAAGGTGCACAAGGCCATGGGTCCTGAGGACTGGCAGATGAAGTGGTTAAGCTGCTATCCATCACATTCGAGAAGTTGTGGAAGGCCAGGGAAGTTCTCACTGACTGGAAATAGGGAGACATAACCCCCATTGTCAAAAAAGGAAAGACATGAACACCCGTGGAACTACAGACCAGTCAGTCTCACCTTGGTGCCTGAAAACTATGTTAAGGCACATGGACAATAAAGGGGTGATTGTTGACAGCCAACGTGGCTTCACAAGTGTTCTTCTCCAGCAGTGTTAAAGTGTCAGTGAATAAGGGAAAAGCAACTGACACAGTCTACTTGGACCTACCAAGTCCAAGCTGACGTCTACTTGGACCTACCAAGTCCAAGCTGACGTCTACTTGTGCAAAACATTTGGCACTGTTTCACATGACATCCTTGCCTGGAGAGACATGGGATTTGACAGATGGACCACTCTGTGGATACGGAATTAGCTGGATGGGTGCACTCGAAACCTGAGGTCAACAGCTCAATGTCAAGGTGGAGACAGAATGAGTGGCATTCCTCAGGGGTTGGTATTAGGACTGGCACTATTTAACACCCGTGTCAGTGACATGGGACAGTGGGATTGAGTGCACCCTTAGAGCACCCTCAGCAAGTTTGCTGATGATACCAAGCTGTATGGTGTGGTTGACATGCTGGAGGGAAGGGATGTGATCCAGAAGGACCTTGATAGGCTTAAAAGGAGGGTCCATGCGAGCTCATGAAGTTCAACAATGCCAACTGCAAGGTCCTGCATGTGGGTTGGGGCAATCCCAAGCACAAATACAGGCTGGGCAGAGACTAGATTGAGAGCAGCACTAAAAAGAAGGATGTGAGGGTGTTAGTTGTCAAGAAGCTCAGCATGACTCGGGAATGTGTGCTTGCAGCCCAGAAAGCCAACTGTATCCTGGACTGCATCCCCAGCAGTGTGACTGGCAGGTCAAGGGAGGTGATTCTCCCCCTCTTTTAGAAAGAAGTTCTTCCCTGTGAGGGTGGTGGGACACTGGCACAAGGTGCCCAGAAAAGCTGTGGCTGCCCCATCCCCGACAGTGTTCAAGGCCAGGTTGGATGGGTCTTGGAGCAACCTGGTCTAGTGAAAGGTGTCCTTGCCTGTGGCAGGGGGTTGGAATTAGATAAGCTTTAAGGTCCCTTCCAACTCAAACCATTCTATGATCCTATTGTGAAGTTGGCAAATTTAAAGTTTTTTTCCTTTTGGCAGATAGAGGAATTCAGGCAACAATATTAAACATGTTTAATAGTCATACAATGAGAAAAGGATTAGAAAACGAGTTTCTAGTCACAAAACAATACTAGACTATTTGTTCAGCTTGGAATGTAATATAATACATGGAATGTCTCATGTCTTCTAGAGAATCTGGGCTGATTTCCATCAGTTGAACTTGACAAGGGATGTGATGAGAGGAAGACACGCTGCTGATGAAGAGCAGCCATTCTGAACTCAGGCAGAACTGGTAAGGCTAGCACTGGGTCCTGGACAGCTGAGAAGTCTAGTCAGCCATCTGCTGTGGACCACCTCTACCAAACAGTACTGGATATTTTTAGACACAGAAAGTAAATATGACAACCAATGAAGCGGTAGCCATTGTGTCAAACCCCTGAGGTCTTTTATCTGGTAAGATGCTTAAATAGAGGGGAAGAGAAGAATAACAGAATAAGGAGACTATACAGCTGAGGAGTCCAAGGGACTAGATTTAAAGGTATGAATGCTGAGCTCTGTCAACTTGTTTCAGAGAAAGAAAAACAAAAAGCTGGGGTGGAATCTTGCAGCCAGAGCTGCATCTCCACGGACAGTGGTATTACTAGTAAATGGTGTGTCCTTCTAAATCCAAATGAAGGACACTCGTTAGGGCTTTTTGTTGGAATTGATTCTACCATACAACTGATGAGAACTAGTGAAGAGCCTGTTTGTGTTCATTCTACCACTGAAGTAGGAAGCTTTCGATCCTTTGTTGTTTCTTTCTGGTATAGTATTAACGTAGTACAGACTCTCTACATGCTTAAAACATTCAGGTGCTTAAGTAATGTAGAATTTGATTCTATAAAATGTCTTCTTCAGAATTCAGGAATGGGATTACCTGGCAATATTTAGCTATACATTCTCCCTAAATTGGAATTGTGTCAGACTACACGGCGTGTTTGTAAAGTATTTTTTGTCTAGGTACAATCAGATGCAATATATCCATCCCACCTGTTTAGGAATGAGCTAGTGCCTTTCTGTATAATAAAGTAGGAAGTTCTAATTTGACGTCAAACAGACATACCAATTGTTAATATTCAATCGAGCCATATTTCAGTTCTACTGATAAGGTTGCTAATGCTACTATAATAATTTACAATATTATCAATATTTTGCAAGTTGGTGTAACAGATTATTGTGTAAAATAGAGAAAACTAATAAGGCATATCAGTTCAATCAAGCCTATTAAATAGAGCTGTTTAAGGTGTTTTGTTAAATAGCTATCAGCTTACATTTAATGATGCCCCCTTTCTTGTTTTCTAAAGTGTAAAAGCTGCATGTAAGTGGTCTCCAAAGGTTAATGCATCCACTACCGTTCTGTAAGTGTAACATTATTTACTGGTTTTGATTAGCTCTATTTGTAAAGCCTGTGAAGCTTCAAAGACTTCAGAAGTAACAGAATGGCTTCATAAGTTACAGAAATGTCTGCTTGTTAATTCTGTATGCAGAGGAAATGACATAGAATTGCACAAAAACTACACTGAAATGATTTTATTTCAGAGATACCAAAGCACCCACATTCTTCCCATTACCTGCTAGCAGTCATGTGCCTGTGCATGATGTCTTGTATTACTCTCGTAATCACTCACTCCTACTAGCAGACTAATTCAGCAGACACTAAATTCTTACCCTAGCAGATGATGGATTCACTTGGGTGGACAGAAAAAGCACATTTATAGATAAGGAATACATTCTTTCCTATTTATTTTTTCCCCATGTTCCATGTAACCCATGTTCAAGGGTTTTTATTGTTTTTATTTTTTCACTTCTCACATTATTTTGAAGAAACTTCAAACACAACATAGAAAACAAGTAGCTGACATTGTCTAGAAGATAGTGTCTCAGAAAGAGACATGTACAAGAAAAATTACTTACTCTTTTACCGGGTGGCCCAGGTGGGCCAGCTTCACCTGAAGGACCTGGTGGACCCTGCAATGGAAAACGATCTGCTCAGTGGTAACAAAGGATAAAATTTGGATAAATCTTTACTAAACACAACAAACATCAGCAATATATTGGCCCCTTTCAACGGACAGAAAGTAAGTACCATAAATACACACAGAGAAGTCTACAAGCATATTCAATAAATCCTTTTTTAGGGTAGTCTTTTGAAACTTTGAACAGCTTTTGTTTCTGTACAAAATGTAATCATTCTTCTCTTTCTACCTGCAACAAGACATTTCAGACCAGGAAGTGGCTGCACAGAAATAATGTATGTCCTAGCCTACTAGCTAGCTCTATTAAGAAGTTTCTCAGGTGCTGAAGTCATTACTTTTGCTAAACGTTTTCACTAACATCTGTGAGTTACTTGCCCCATGGGTGGCTTTCCCCTGAAAAATCTTTTGTGCGCTGATAGCCATTTGGCTTTTCCTTCTTGGTGTCTATGATACTCTTAAACATTTCAGGGTTGCTGATAAGCTTTCCTTCAGGAGCTCTAGAAGTACTTACTGTTAAAATAAGACATACAGATACTGATTTCCTGAAGTTTGCAGCTAAACCCCAGTTTATAACTTACTTCCAACTTCAAGGTACTACCATTTTTTTATTTTCAAGCTGATCTGTATAGGATCCCTTATAAGCATCCACTTAGAAAGTATTTTTAAGAAACCCCAGTTTATAACTTACTTCCAACTTCAAGGTACTACCATTTTTTTATTTTCAAGCTGATCTGTATGGATCCCTTATAAGCATCCACTTAAAAAGGATTTTTAAGTGCATGAATGTATAGAAACCACTGATTCAGCATAAGATACTTTCTTAGCACAGGAGAGACATGCAACTGAAATAAAATGACAACTCACAGGTTGACCAGGATCACCATCTTCACCTTTCTCTCCACCAACACCATCCTGACCCTACAGAAATCAAAGAAAATAAATAATCAAAGAAAATAAAATACAAAATTCAGCTAAATTAAGTAACTTAGTTTGATAGATTAATAGAACTAATTTTCTACAGAGCATTTTCTTAAAGACATTAGCCTTCAAAACTTTTTAAAGAAAGATTTCTAAACCTTTTTTTAAGCCCTAAGAAATATATGAACAGAAAAGCAACCGATCTCAAAGGCAAGATCGTGTCCCCAGACAAGGAAGAGTCAGGATTAACTAGAATTTAATGCAAACCAAGACTAGGACCTAAACCTGTTTTTTAAGTATACTTACAGCCGGACCAGGTTCACCAGGGGGACCAGGATCTCCAGGAAAACCAACTGGGCCCTAGAAAAATGAGGAAAAAAACCCAAGGAATCCATTGGCAAGCAGGCAGCAATCAGCAGGAGAATTTTATGAAGCATATAATGAATTCAGTTCAAATGTGAAAAATTACATACAGTTCTATATGTAGCATAACTTCAGCAGTGCTTCATAGTGCTTTGTATGAAAACTATTAAACTCACTTACTGGGTTACCCTTAGGTCCATCATCACCTGGAGGTCCTTTAGCACCTGGTGGTCCAGCTGCTCCAGGTGGACCAGCCTCACCTTTTTCTCCTCTTTCACCTTTTGGACCCTATAGAAAACATAGAAATCCAAAAAAGTAATCTGAAAATTGAATGGCTAAAAAAAGATCACAGTGGCAAAAACATGTCATAGGCAATGTTACTCCTCACTAAATGCTGGCAACTAAATGAGAAAGTAGGGCCTCAGCCTCAAGCTGGAAAAGCTGTGAATCTTAGATCAAGTGCCAATATCTGCACCCAGTTTGCATCAATGAACTGTCTTCAGAGAGAAAAATGTGTCAACTGTATGTCAAAGGTAATACTTTTGGAAGAAAAACAGGTACTCTTTTAAGAAGTCTTCGGCTTTGTCCTCTAGCTGTTAGTACAAGATGTGGCTATAATCATGCGGAAGCAAATTGCATTTTAAAGGTGTTAGTCCTTCACTGAAAATGTAAAGAAGATGCACACAAGTGATCTGATGAAATGCTTTCTAAAGTAAGCACCACCACATACCTTAAGCTCACCATAATAAGCGTTAAGAATAAAACTAACCCAGAATACTCACAGATGTTCCAGATTCTCCAGGAGGTCCAGGGTTACCAGCTTCTCCAGGTTCACCCTGTAAATTTGTGAGCATATATTGCTGAGTCATTGGGGAGGGTATTTCTATGAATTTACTTGTTATTACATATGCTTCTCATGCTTGTTCATGTTAACAGCGTACAAGAACTGTCTTACATTTGGTCTGCCTGAAGGGTGTTGAGTTACACATGGGTTTGCAGAAAGGGAATCTGAAATTTTAGAGACAATATAGCAAACTAAGCTTTTTGTGAGCCTGGAAGACTAACGTCTGGGCTTTGGAAGATCTTCCCCTTTATTATCCCATATATTGCAGATTTCCACTCTGTCATCTTATATTTAGCTTGTTATAGGAGCTAAGCAATGTTCTGATAGAGAAGATTGTAGCTGATATATATTTACAGAGTGCAAAAACATGTGCAATCTGTAGGTTATTCTTTGCCCTTGTATTTTTTTGCATTTTTAGTAAAGATGGTATTAATTCAGAACCTGATGCACCTTCTTCATAGGAAATATCTCATATTCTTTTGGGAAATAGATTTTATGATCTAATAATAAATTTATTCCATCTCTGGGACTTTTTTACCTTTTGTTATCAGATTGGATCTTTTAATAATTAGATTAGGCAAAGCCTTCCTCTGACAGAATTTCAGCAACCAAAGACAGACATTTTAAATTACAAAGAGTCATGGAATTTCATGGATATGTTTAATTCTGAAAACCTCGTTGGAATAACTAAGCAGAATGTTTGCTATCAGGCTAAGGACAGTAGTGTCAAAGTCTTTTTTTGTCTTTATTATGACCAGTTCTAGATAAGTGTCCATACAAAGCACAGACAGAGAAATTGTGACTCTAGAAGACAATCCCTTCTCACATTGGTATGCATATGTGACTGTGTTTTTTATATATATATATATAAAATAGCTCTGTGGAGAGCTATATTTAATCAAGAGAGGAATTCTAAAGCTGTGCTGTATTTTCTGGGAGGGCTTATGTTTACAAGCATGTTGGAGTGATGGAAGAAGGATGAAAAGAGATCACAGTCAGTGAGTTCCTGAAAAGTTATTAAAAGTAATTTGTTAGGACAGATACTCAGGTAGCATAAACTGTCACAGACACATCTTGCAGACCTTAGCAATTGTCTGCACAGAGGTGTATGGAAAAATTATATGCACACATAAAGATGCCTGTGCAAACTTATCACATGTGGTTTTAACCTAGGGTGAGAATATTCAATTGATTTTGTCCTCTCACTTCCATCTGCAGTAGAAATCAATGATGGATTAAGCATGTAAAGTTACTGATTTCATACAGTAAACTCTGAGAGGCTTAGGTTCTGCAGACATTCATTTTGCATTACTCATTGACTGTGCCAGTTTAACACATGCTGTGGCCTTTGATCTCAAATTAGAGATAAGCAAGTGTTGGTCCATTTTGGTTTTCTGCTTTTTCTTAATTATAAGCACAACAAAGAGAATCATTTCTGTGTGGAAGCTAGATTCAAGTGGTTCTAGTTCAGTGTAATTCTCAAGACTTCTAGACCACTCCATGGAGGCTACTGGCAGTAATAATGCAAGGCTACATGCACATTTGTACTGAAGATGTCTTTGAACATTTAGGCCTTTGTATGTACAGCAGAGGAAACAAGAAGTTAAAAGTACATGGCACTATGGGTTACAAAAAATGTTTATAATTTGCCAGAAGATACAGAGGCTTTGAAACCCCAGTATCAATGACAAAATCTCTCCTAGTCTAACCATTCAAATATGCAAGTGAGCAGATCTATTTCCCTCCTCCACATTGACAGGTTAAACCATTTGACACTTTTCCACACTCTACAATCAGCACTGAAGTGCATTACCTATAGTGTGCTTTGTCTTTCCTGAAAGGGCTGCAGAGGCCAAAGCACGCTGACTTAATAAGAAAAACATTGGGGAAAAACTGTGTGGGCATAAAAGAAGAGGAGAAAATGCATGTTTTGTTGCAAAGTGTGAACTATCCTCCCACTGCAGGAACTCCTCCTGACAAAACAACTCTTTATGATTTCTATGCTTGCAGAGCTCATTAAAAGGAACTGAAATTAAGAAGGAAGGTATCCTAACTCAAGAGAAAAAACTGGCATGTACTAAAACTTGAGGAGGAGAAAAGTCATTAGAATAAATAAAAACTTCCAAAATAATATACTTGGAAGCTTCTTTGTGTGAATGCAGAGAACATGGGAAATAAGCAAGAGGAAATAAAAATGACAACTAGTGATAAACAGTCTGAATTTCATGTTCTTGAATTAAATCTGGTGAGCTAAACGGCACAGAAGAGTCACAGAGAGAAACAAAGGCATAAGGAGCTCAAATAAGTCAATGTTTTAACAAAATGACTGGAATATAATTTGATTGGGAAACAGTAAGAATTAGAGAGATGCTTGAAACCAGTGGCAAAATTCCTACTGACTTCAGTGGGCCACAACATTATACAAAGTGGGTTTTTTTAAAGCAGTGAATAGAATAGCGGCTCCCCTAGATGAGGTGTTCCCATAATATACATTTTCTCAGTACCCCAGTGGTCACAGGAAGAGTTTTTCTTCCCACAGTGCCATTTGTTTCTGTTTCACTGACACACACAATCTCTTATTCCAATCATCACTTTTTTTGCCATCTCTACCAACTCTAACATTCAGACACATTTTTGATACTCGTCCCAGAGAGAAAACCAAATCCTACATCCTTCATGAGGCCAAGCTCTCTTTTAAAATAGCCTGGAGGAACAACGTCACAACACTGGGAGATGAGAGGGAATATCCTTAATAATGCAGTCAAGCAGAAGGACATGATATTTTGTATGTCTTACGCAATTTGGGGTAAAAAGTATTGAAGACCTAAGAATGCCACTGCTACTCAACAGGTGAGCTGATGCTCAGAGCCACATCCTGAGAAACAGGGAATGAAATGAAGCACTGTCAGCTTAAGAAATGACAGAGCTACCATGAATAAACTACAGTGTAGTTTCATCTGCTTGGGCTCAGTACCCTTTGATCTCAAAGGACAAAGAAGGCAGAAAAAGTAGTAAACTTCTCCATCAAGCCATGTATCATTACATCATTCTAGTACTCTCTTCACCACATCCCAGAGCACTGGTAAGTGACTTACTTGATGGGCATGTAGGAAAAAAAATCATGAAACATCTGAAGATTCTATTAAAAGAATAGTTTGGTAATACTGAGAGTATGACCAAACAAGTATCATAGTTGTTGATTCCTTTTAACATGATGCTTACTTAACATAGTGAAGGGCTATTTAAAGAACCACATAACACATAACACATTTTAGTGGAAAAAAAAAGACACATAACCAAAATTTTATGGTAGATGTCAACAGTATTGAAGAGCATCATAAGAAAGATCTTTTGACATCACAAGGGAACAAGCTTGTAGGATGATCTGCAGGTTTTCATTATATTTGTTATTATTCGTCATGTAAACAATCCTGTGAAAATAATGGCAACTTCCTTATCTTCTGCAAAGAAGGAATACCTAAAGGCTCTGTGAAGCAGAGTGACATGCTTTTGGACAGTGATCAAGAAGATTATCATGACAGATAGAATTGATTTTGATTGACTTGATACCTGAGTCATTGTTTGTAACTTCATAGACCTGATGGATTTGTACCTTAGAGGTACAACACAGTTATATAGTGTCAAAAGAGAGTATGTGAATAAATTAAGGAGAGCAGAAGACTTCTGAGGTGCTGAAGTTCAGCAGTGGTATATGAGGAAGATGAAGGAAAAGGTATTTGATGGGACAAGGAAGAAGAGGGGAAAACTTGCTTCATATTCTGAAAAGTTATCAATAGAGTCAGCTTTCTGACAAACTACCAATACTGGCATTCCAAGGGATGTCTTGTATAGGACTCATTAACATCACTGCTTCTTTGAATACATATGCTATTCTGTGGCAAATATTTAAGTATGAGCAATCTACATAGTTTCTCAATAAGTTATTTATACAGTGGCCTTGAATATATTGTTTCCTTTGCCTTATGCTCCATTCAAAATCCAAATTTAGAGAAAAGAAATTGTATTAAATCTATAACATTACAGCAAAATGCTTTAAGGCTTACATATGACTCAGGTCATCTAACCTGGTAAAATAAACATAAAGAAGAATTTCAAGAGACTCTTGAATTTTCTGTTTGCTCAGCATTTAATAATAGTTTACACTGGTGATTCAAATAAATCCCACAGAAAAAAAGCTATTTAAGGAAAGGAAAACATATTACATGCTCTTTGGGTAAGATATGACATTCAAAAATCACTACATATATTGGTAGGACATTTTCTGAATAAAGAATTGAAAACAGCAATTAAAATAGTTTGATAAATGGATGTCATATAGCATCAGTCTTAGGGCAAGTTTTCAAACAGCACGAATCATCCTCAAATATTTGAGTTTATTGGAACTGTATCTATCTGTATGAGGAACAAGTACATATTGATGCTTCAGGTCTGCTTCACCTCATAGCTATGTTTACCACCACTGATATGTTCTGTAACAGTTTGTATTATTAAAAGTTCCACACAGGGGGATATATACTACACAAGTATAACATGACAAACACTTCAAGCCAATAATGCTATTGTAGACATCAAATTTTGTAGTTATGGAAATCACCATAACCTTACTTTAATCCTTCACCCAAAAGCTACCTTTTCTGATCCAGAGGTCTTTACTCTGATCATAAAATATTTTTGTGATGTAAAACGTGAAATAAAAAGACCAACAGTGGTAAGTGAGCCATTAGGGGTATCGCTAGATAACTATTAAAAATGGTTAATAGTCAATAGGTCAATATAGCTCTAAAGAAGAATCCGAATGTATATTCAGATTCTATTCCAATGTTTTCTCTTTCTGGGAGGTTATTATCAATACTCACCTTTTCACCAACACCTCCAACAGAGCCGATTGAGCCAGGTGGTCCTTGAGGACCCTAAATAATAAAAGATGTTAGTTATCCCAAATACAGTTGTCCACAGTATAGTGCTTATTACTGAATTTCTGAGAGAACAAAAAAAATAGGTTAATTCTTACATCAGCTCCATTAGGACCCTGGGGACCTCTTGGACCTGGAGGGCCAGGTGGACCCTGTATCAAAGAGAAACATCTTATATAGTTACATTCATAGTGCGGCTTATTTGGCCAATGAAAAATAATATGCTCAATCTTTATAGGGCTTTTAATCTTTGCACTGCTACAGGAACAGCAGGGCTAGACTGCTGCCCATTACATGAGCTCACAACGTGACAGGGGATCCAGGCTATGTGCATACAGTACCTGAGCTAGAAAAGATCAGACGCTTAGGACCCCTGAGGGGGGTGGTGCACTGGTGTCCTGCACTGTATTTTCCCTGCAGGTTACCTGCATACCCATTCCACTGTGCAAAGACCCTGCAGCAGCCTATATAGCTGTTAACAGCTATGTGACAGTACTGCAGCATGGTGCTTACAGATGGGCAATAATAAAGTATCCAGGCTCAGCACAGGGTGTTGGGGGAAACCTTCTATAGATGATAGCTTGTGCTTCAGTCAGGACCAGCCCAGAAGGCATTCTGTTAACAGTATAAACTCAAGATCACCCTGAAAAACAGAGTAAACATAGCCAAAGAGTGTTTACTATCTTCTAACCTGCAATCCCCAGCAGCTAAGGTACACTGGCCTGCATTTCAGAAAAGCATCTCTAAACACTGGTGCAGTGGTTTCTCCTTTTAGTCTTTCTTTCCTGAACCTGCTTGCCACTGCCCTGTCTCACACACATACACTGTCTGCTTTGCTACCTACTCTTTATTTTCTTAAGTTACTTAAATCTTGATATAAAAGATGAGGAGATAGATATGGGAAAACAAAGTAAACCCCAGAGAGAGTTTCTGTTCCACAAAATGTTTCATACTCATGCACCAAATTCAGGAGTAGCTTTTCAAATTGCAAGCTACAGAGAAAATACATGAATACACAGATGGTATTTATGTCCTCCAGAGTGAGCAACAGGGAATAAGTCTTACCATTGGGCCCACATCACCATTTTCACCCTTTTCACCTGGTGGGCCAGGCAGACCCTAAAACATGCAGAGGAGAAAACTATTAGAAGGGTACCTGGAATGATGAGCTATGAATCAAAACAAAACAACTGATTTGCTTGTGCAAGTGAAACTTGGGTCAGAAGAACAAGAAAGCAAACTATATTTGCACTAAAGCAAAAAAGAAAAGAGAAAGAGAGGAGAGGTGAGCAGAAGGAAAAGGGGAAAGGGAAGGGAAAAAAAGAGAAAAAGAAAAGACAAAAGAAAAGAAAGAAAAGAAAAAAGAAAAGGAATGGAAAGAGAAAAGGGAAGCAAAGAAAGAGGAGGGGAAAGGGAAGGGGAAAGGGAAGGGGAAGGGGAAAGGGAAGGGGAAAGGAAAGGGGAAAGGAAAAGGGAAAGGGAAAAGGAAAGAGAAAGGGAAAGGGAAAGGGAAAGGGAAAGGGAAAGGGAAAGGGAAAGGGAAAGGAGGGGAAAGGAAAGGGAAGGGGAAAGGGAAAGGGGAAAGGGAAGGGAAGGGAAGGGAAGGGAAGGGAAGGGAAGGGAAGGGAAGGGAAGGGAAGGGAAGGGAAGGGAAGGGAAGGGAAGGGAAGGGAAGGGAAGGGAAGGGAAGGGAAGGGAAGGGAAGGGAAGGGAAGGGAAGGGAAGGGAAGGGAAGGGAAGGGAAGGGAAGGGAAGGGAAGGGAAGGGAAGGGAAGGGAAGGGAAGGGAAGGGAAGGGAAGGGAAGGGAAGGAAAGGAAAGGAAAGGAAAGGAAAGGAAAGGAAAGGAAAGGAAAGGAAAGGAAAGGAAAGGAAAAGAAAGGAAAGGAAAGGAAGAGAAAAGGGAAGGAAAAGGAAGGAAAAAGGGAAGGGAAAAGGAAAAGGAAAGGGAAAGGAAAAGAAAAGGAAAAGAAAACTAAAAGTAAAGAAAAGAAAACTAAAAGTAAAGAAAAGAAAGAAAGGAAAGCAGAAAAGAAAAGAGAAAAGGTTTTATATTACACAAATGCATAAGGAGTCTTAGGATGCCTAAACCAGGTGAGGCAGAAAGTTTTTTTGGGGAAAAATATGCTAAATCAACAACAAAATCAAATAAAAACCTGACACAGAAAATGCTGGGGTGGCTGGCTGACATTTAAAACACTGCCATCATTATCCAGAATCCAGGTGGGCATCTGGATTATTTGATTTGATTTATGCTATGATACGTATATATGTAAGGAAACTATGATCAGTGTAGCACAATGAAATGGTATGCAAAGATGCCTAAGCTACCTGAGTACTGGCAGCTGTGTAACTGATTTAATATGGTGTCCAGTGGAGGTAATAAATTCTGCTGAGAGGCATTGCATTGGGTTATACAAACATATCCTTAGAAGCAAACTGTCCATGTCTGACTAGTAAAAAACACCAAGAAAAGGAACTGTAGCTGATGCTAATTGGAGAATCACAGAATAGTCTGGGTTAGAAGGGACCTTCAAAGCTCATCTAGTCCAGCCCCCTGCAATAAGCAGGGACATCTTCACCTACAGCAGGTTGCCCAGAACCACATCCAGCCTGGCCTGGAATGTCTTCAGGGATGGGACATCCACCACCTCTCTGGGCAACCTGTGCCAGGGTTTTACCATCCTCATTGTAAAGAATTTTTTCCTCACATCCAGCCTGAATCTTCCTCTTCTAGTTGAAACCCATCACACCCCATCCTGTCATAACAGGCCCTGCTGAAAAGTCTCTCCCCATCTTTCTTACAGACCCCTTTTAAGAACTGAAAGGCTGCAATAAGGTCTCCCTGATCTGAAATCTAGTATAATACTACCACAGCTAGAAGCAGTATCACTGCTAAGCTGGGCATTCCTAAATGTAGGATCAAAGCTCGGCTGCTATAAAAAGCAGACCCCTCAAATCTGGAGTCAACAGCATTACACTGACTTACATTACAATAAGATCTGGTTCTAAGTTTTACTACTCTAACTTATTTCATGTTTACTTCTGGTTACATCGTAATAATTCAACAAGTGAAATCTGAATTGACTTTCCTTCACTATGAGGAGTTTTAAATAACAAATTTGGTGCTAATTGTTCTAAAGTATGATTAGAAAGTGACTAAATGGCTAGTCTTCAGAGAGCTGATAGTCAGAGAGAAGAATCCCACCTCAAATAAACTAGATCTTCCAGCTGCGAACAGTCTACTCAATTCTACCCTATGAACACAGAAAGACATTTAACTTAAAAAGTTGAATGCTTTGTCCATTATGATTCATGCTCATGCTAATCCTAAACAGCCCATTCAACTGTTTGCTCATAAGCCTTTGAAGACATTTAAATATTTACTTCATATTTCTGTCAAAAAGACTTTCCAAAACTATTTGGTGAACTCCGACTTCGACACTGAAAAAATCCTACTAATTTCACTGAATCAATATTTCATGCATTCTTGGACATAGTATTTTCAGTTCCTTTTGTCAAGAAGCAATTGAGACGTATTATATTCAAAATTGAAGTAAAATTGCCATAAATTGACTATAAGATAACCTAGGCCCATAGAGTTTTTCAGCTATTCTTTAATTTAAACTCCTCTTGTTAGAAATTTCCCTATTTATAAAAATACTATCAAAATCAAATAGCAAGGAAATTCAAAATTAAGGTAATCAATATTCCAAATTACCAATGTTCAATTTTATGAACAATAATACTATTTACTTAATATCCAACGTAAGTCATAGCAATAGAATTTAACTGAACTGTGATACAGTTACTGTGCAATATTATCTGTAAGACAGAGAAAGTTGTTACTCCCCAACAGTTCATAATGACCATGAGAATTAGATTACTGAATAGAAAAAACTCCTGATTTCTCAATGGTACTTCAATACCATTAGCAAATAAGGGCTCTCGGTCCAGGGACCAACATATTCAAATTAAAATCTTGATCAGAGAAATAAAATTCCTCATTTGACATATTTAATTTGTGTAAGTCTCAGCCAATTGTTTTTTATGTTTACATAGCTTAGTGCTCATTAAACTTAAAACGTGAAGGCTGACTTTACTGAAAAACATCAATTGAAATAGGATTTTAGAGCTGAGAAAAATAGCACTAATTTTATTTCATTCTCTTTAAAACAGTAAAAACCTTCACAGTTCATAATAAAATTTAGAAATAACTTTTCTAAGTTAAGATTTCTCAAAATCTTTCAACTTCAAAGGCAACATGAGTCTATGTAAGACATGTTGGTGCAATAATGAACTATTTAGAGCAGCCTGAGAGGGGATCTCATGAATGCAGATCAATAGCTCAAAGGTGGGTGCCAGGAATATGGTGCCAGACTCTTTCCAGTGGTGCCCAGTGACAGGATGAGGAGCAATGGCCATAAACTAACACACAACAAGTTTCACCTCAACATGAGGAAGAACTTTGCATTGAGGGTGTCAGAGCCCTGGAACAGGCAGACATCCCAAACCCACCTGGACACATTCCTGTGTGACCTGCTCTGGGTGGCCCTGCCTTGGCAGGGGGGTTGGACTGGATGATCTCCAGAGGGCCCTTCCAACACTAATAACGAGTCTGTGATTTTCCACGAAGGGTTGAAGGTTTGCAACATTTTATATACCTCATTGTAAGTTTTATGAGCTGCACTAAGTAACAGAATTTAAAAAATGATAGGTACAGGTTAAGGTTTCCATTTTTATGATTCATATTACAGCTTAATGCACGGATTAGAAATAGTTTCAGTGTTCTGTGCTCTAACGTTAATTATATGGAAGTTAATCAATGTCTTGTTCTTTGTTTTGTTCTAATTAAGCAAATAGAATTTTTGAAAAAGCAGAATCTTTCAACTGTAATTCCCTGGATGCAGCAGTGAGAAGCCTACATTTTACTGGATGCTTGCTTGGTGTGTTTTGACTCAAAATAATGATTTGAACAGGAAAAAACATGAAACTATAGGAACCTGCCAGTGATGGCAGCAGCGTATAAGCATCATGGAGTTCTGCCAATCTTTCTGAACACAAGTGTCTGTAAAGGTATCACTGGGAAAACACTGTGTTGCCAAAACCTATTGTGAAAATACAGTAAATGACTAGGACATGTTAAACACTCCTCCAGGTTCAATCTTTTCTTTAAGACGAGCATCTCCAGTAAAAAGAAGCGCTCTTACTGAAGCAGAAGTTGTCAGACTCTAAAAATGAATGAATTATCGAATGAAATTCTAAAGCTTATGGTAGCCAGGAGTTCAGAGCATTCTACCCATCTCCTTCAGCATTTAATCTGCTATTTATGAATATGGGATACTTGAGTTCTTATTATCTGATGCTATTATTTATTTAATAGAAGACAATACTCAGTTTCTGAAAGAATCAGGGTTCTAACAGGTGAAGGGTAAACAATAAAGGAATTTACCTGTAAGCCAATAGGGCCTGGAGGTCCAGGGAATCCTCGAGGACCTTCATCACCTTTTTGCCCAAACATGCCTTGCTGACCTCTTGGGCCTGGCTCCCCATCACCTCCCTGTTTGGAAACAGTGAAAAGCAAAAATATCATAGGTTTGATAATAACAGAAGAAGCTCCATGGAAATCACTGGAAAACAAGAAGGGGGCTCAGAATCATGTCTGGTATCTTTACAAATGCATCTACACACCTTGACTGAATGAAATCTGTTATATAAATAAAATACCAGCATATGCCCTGGTTTAATGTAGGTCAAATAATAACTGCATGTCTCACAAAGATTTTTCCTGAATACCTCTTCTCTTTCACATCTGCATAAACTTTATAGCTGCTGAATACCTACATATTAGTAACTATGAGTAACATATAGTTCTACCAGTCTTCATGGTATCTTCAAGAATTCAAAACCTTCTAAATAAATAAAAAGCAATGAAACTGGTATCAGGTGGATTTTAGTTTTAAATGCATCTGATACCGAGCTGATTTTACCACTGACTGTCATATAAAACATTAACCAATTCACTGCAAGGACAGTCCCATTCCCTATTTACACTACTTCATTTTTAATAATTCCATCGAATTACTGCTCTGCTGTACATCCGCAATACAATAGCTTATTTACAATAAACAACTGCATGCAAGTGGACAATAGAACTGTTAATAGTGTTTTAATAAATGCCTGGGTGAGGAGCATGCAGTTCAAAGAACTTCTAAGTAAGAGATGAGTTACGGCAAGACTGGGGTTTGCTCTAAAGCTACTTACAGCTATACCAGGTGCACCAACAGGACCCTGGAGACCTGGTGGACCTGGAGGACCCTGCGACAAACAAACATCCAAAAGGTAAAGCTAGTGATTATGGCATCTGAAATGAGATTAAAAGCAGATACAGAGACAACCCTATTTGCATGATCAAGGTCTATTAAGCATCTCTACATTTATTCATAGAGAATGTAGCATTATTTAAAAGTCTTTTCCATTCAGTACAATCATTATTTGTTTATCTCTCAAAAACTCAGATTTGCACATCTATAACAGACTTAATACAGGCATTTGTTGGAAGTAGATTTGTAATGTTTCAGAATACTTACAATAGATTCCCATGCAAACATGAATGAAATGAAAAAAGTACTTACTTTTCACAATTAAAAGTAACAGACCTTTCAATGAGATTTGTGCAGGAAATCTCTGTGAAGCATCTTCTAACAATCTATCTTGAAATGGAATGCTTATTTGGATTTGTTCTTTTAAAATTGCAAATGGTTTTTGTAACAGCACAAATGACCTCCAGGAGCCATGAAAACATCTAAGTTCTTGTTTAGCACTTGGAGACATGTACTCTTTGATACCAAGTCTCTGAGATGAACTTCTTACATTTTTCAGTCTCCTTACAGAATAACAGCTTTCCACATTACATTGCACTTAATTTGGAACTCACTTACACAGATATGACATAACAAAGGTATCTAACCAACAGAGTACAGGAATGCAAGATACCAGTTTATAATGTAGTTAAAATTATGCAGTAGGTTGAAGCTGGTTTTTGCACCACCTATAGAGACTAGAGTGATAAAAAGTGAAGCTAAAGCAGCAAAAAACCTTACAGCTGGCAAGGGCTGAATTCCAGTCTGCTATTTCAGACGGCAAGGAAGTTGTCCACAGTTTCTAGTCTGGGAATTCTAATTTAGTGCAGAATAATCCTTGGATTTAATGACCTTGTTAGGGCTAAAATTGGATTATTCTGCCCTTTATAGGGAGATTAGGAAAAGGGACTTCTTAAGTCTATTTCTCTTCATTCTATGTAGGTTTTAGAGTATCTTATTTTCTAGGGAGATTGAAGTGTCAGGCTATGTATTTCTTCTCTTTTATAATTTTCTTGTCACATATATGATGGCAATAGAGCAAAGGCTTTTATCCTCTATGGTGACATTACTAAATGAAAGGAGTCCTAGAAATGCTCCTGTTGACTGGGGGGTGTGTGTGTGTGTGTTACCATGAGAAAGGGAATTAGCAAAGTCATATCAGAACAGAATATTCCTACACTCTGCAGAATGCTTCTACCTGCTCCTTCATTTTTCAGGGCCCAGAAGGAGACCTACACATTTTTCATCTCACTTAAGTACTCATTTTTATATAAGTATTGTTGAAAGGTATTTTGCAATTGATTAATAAGAAGTTATTTGGACACATGGCTAGACTCTTCTTGTCCATTACTCCGGAGGGCAAATGGAGAGGGACTGATCAGAATCATCAGGAGAGACTCTTTAGCTAATGAAGGTTCCTGTGACTGTGGAGGTTTTGAAACTCAAGATAGAACATACATCAACAATAAAATTGTGCCGTCCCTATCCAGGATATGGCAACATGGTATTTTTAGTCAGGCACAGTACAATTAAACCCCCAAACATAAATCCTTGTTAGTTTCAATGGGAAACTGAAGATGTTTCCAGCTCTTCTTTGCTCAGGGTCCTTGGTGTGATTAGTCTCTAAATGCCCACCAAGGCTTTTGTGGGTGTCTAGGTATTGTGCACATCCACTCTTTGTCCTGCAATTTCAGAACTAGGTACTTCCCTTCATAATCTTCCCGAGGCCTTTCTCCCTACCCCACTATCCATCAGCATGTTTAAAGGAAAGCAGATTTGAAATAAACACATTCTGGAATTGTCAGGGTTAAATTACTCTAATTGAGGACAAACAGGATTCAATACACTTGACTTGAAATGTGGTAACATTCACTTCAACTAAGCAGGCCTGAACACCGAATCCTGTATTTTAAGGAAAACATTATATTCCCAAATGCCTCAGACCTTGAGACTGAAAATACAAGATATGTTCTCAAAATTATTATGCTGCAGACACTTTATCTGTAAAGCAGATGACTGCATAATAACCATAACAGTTATTTTAATAACTGTAACAATGATTTTTCTCCTTCTTAGTAGGTGGTGCAGGGCTGCGTTTTGGCTTTAGTCTGAGAACAACACTGCTAACACAACGGTGTTTTAGCTGTTGCTCAGTAGCACTTACCCCGATCAAGGACTTTCAAGTCTCTCATGCTCTGCCAGAGAGGAGGGGAAGCCAGGAGGAAGCAGAGACAGGACACCTGACCCAAACTGGCCAAAGGGCTATTCCACACCACAGCACGTCATGCCCAGTATAGAAACTGGGGGGAGTTACCCAGAAGGCCCAGATCGCTGCTCGGGTCGGGCTGGGCATCAGTTGGCAGGTGGTGAGCGGTTGTACTGTGCATCACTTATGTTTATTGGTTTTTTAACTTTTCCCCTTTTAGTTTTATATTCTCCCCCTTTGTTATTTCCCTTATTAGTAGTGGTATTACTAGTTTTGTATTATACTTTAGTTATTGGACTGTTCTTACCTCAACCTGCGAGGTTTACATTCTTTTGACTCTCCTCCCCATCCCGCCATGAGCAGAAGGGGGAAGAGGGGGGGGAGGGAGCAGCTGCATGGTTCTGAGTTACTGGCTGGGCTTAAACCATGACAGCAGATCTGCTGGAACATGTCCAAATGAATTAGTACTCACAATGGGAACTGTAGTCACAGTCTAATGCTCAGTGTAACTAGCTGGTCTGCTAAAATGGTCTGAAAGAGAAATGTGAAGCATGTGTTTCTTCTGAATTTCTCTGATGCAGAAGCATCTCAAATGAAGAGGGGAAAACAGAAGAATATGCATTTGATCACATCCAAAGCCCGAAGTGAAACTGGACCATGACCTGCTTCATACACTTCTTCTGCCCTTTCCTTTAAACACCAGAATGGTTTAGGCTGGAAGGGACCTTAAAGCTCATCAATTCCAACCCCCTGCCATGGGCAGGGATACCTCCTGCTAGACCAGGTAGCTCCAAGCCCCTGTGTCCAACCTGGCCTTGAGCACTGCCAGGGATGGGGCTGGCCTTTGACCACTGCCGGGGGCGGGCCAGCCACAGCTCCTCTGGGCACCCTGTGCCAGCGCCTCAGCACCCTCACAGGGAAGAATTTCTGCCTAATGTCTAGTCTAGATCTATCCTCTATACGCTTAAAGCCTTTCCCTCTTGTCCTATCCTTACACGCCCTTGTCAAAATTCCCTATCCAGATATCGTATAGGCCCCCTTTAGGCACTGGAGCTGCTCTAAGGTCTCCCCAGCGTCTTCTCTTCTCCAGGCTGACCCAGCTCAGCTCTCTCAGCCTGTCTCCAGAGCAGAGCTGCTCCAGCCCTCGCAGCATCTCTGTGGCCTCCCCTGGACTTGCTCCAGCAGCTCCATGTCCCTCCTGTGTTGCAGACCCCAGAGCTGAGTGCAGTTCTCCACTTGGGGTCTCCCCAGAGCACAGCAGAGGGGCAGGATCCCCTCCCTCAACCTGCTGCTCACACTCTGGGGGTGCACCCAGCACACGGGGGAGGTTCTGGGCTCAAGCACACACTGAAGCTGGGTCATGGGGAGCTTCTCACCCGGCACCCCCAAGTCCTTCTCCTCAGGGCTGCTCCATCCAGTCTCCCCCTACGTGTAGCTGTGCTTACGATTGCCCCAGCCCAGGTGCTGGAGCAATTTTAGTCTGGACCAGAATTTGTTTCCAACTTGGTCATATGTATGTTTCTTGCAAAACTGGGGTTTATCTCTCATCCATATGTATGATATTACATTCTTTTGTGTTAACAGGGCATAACAAATAAATTATTATAGCACTTGCAATTTTACCTAATGAAATAAGGTTGTGAAAAGTATCTGTATTCTGCACTGGAAATTGTAAAAGTCTTTCTCACATAAGTAACTGGAAAGAAAAAGGTTTTCTTTAAAAATAAAAGAAGCTTGTCTTTTTCTGTGCATTTTGTTGACACATTTTTTTTCTATGAAATTATAAACCTGCAATTTGCTTGAATTTTTATGTATCCTCCATAAAACATTATCTGATTATGTGTAAGCCATAAATTTGGTATAATTTTTAGAAGCCATCTACTTTTATGGTGCTAAGTCATTAATCATAAAAAGCACACAGTGTTTTCAAGACAATAAATATGCTTAGTTATGAATATCTCTATATTGAATTCTGAGCTTTGCTAACTGTGAATATTGATAAAATATAATAATAATAATTAAAAAAAAATCATTCTCCATTATGTCTTAGGGAAAACTATTCAACTAAAATGCCAGTTTATCTTGAAATTGAACAGAAGTGAAAACAAACCTTTTCTGACTTTTTGGGAAAGAAACAAAAATCAAACAGAAAAGAAGTGTCTAGTTTTATTCTTTCTAGCTTCAAATTTTACAGTAGAAAAAGCTGATTTGTATCTTTCTGGCTTCAATTAACAGAGGAAGTACTTGAACTTTGGAAGTAATTTTGAATTTACTCTGAGGTCTTGAAATGTGGCAATCAGTTAAGTGTGCTTTCCATGGATTAAATATTCTTTACAAATTTTAAAACTCTGTTAGTAGGTTTCTCTATTGAGTCTTCATATTCTTCATCATTATGCCTGCCAAGCTAAAGCTGGGTATGTTCACCCAATCCAGTCGGTGAAGTGAACTTAATCACAGTAAAAGAATGTATCTGTATGCTTGGTCTCTTCCAGTTCACATGGAGAATGGATGAATCAAAATAATATAGGAAGGAAGGTAGTTTACCTAGCTATTTTTTAATTATTCTGTAAGCTCAAGGAATATGAGAAATACTAAATAAAGGCTCTAGAACTACAAACCTCTAGTGTTGCGCTAAAACGTCACCTTATTTTGAAGACACGTTTTTGAAGTGTGTCTTTGTTTCTGTTCAGTGATGTAGCAAGGCTCCCTGAATACTTCATACATGAATACTTCCTATTTATGAAGAATGGAATGGAGGAAGGATTGCGCTACTCACGTTTTCTCCCTTGTCGCCTTTACTACCTTTCTGACCTGGTTCACCAATTTCACCCTGTAAGGGAAAGTTAAAAGTTAAACTTCTTGTTTAAAATGGTCTCCTTCACACTCAGCTGAATTCAATATAACAGTATCTTTAAATGTTCCCTTTGATATGATTCTTCTGTGTTTTATGCTGCTGCTTTAAGTGTGAAGGTCTAAAGGGGGCAATTCTGCACCCATCAATAGTATGTCATATTAATCCAGATATTGATTGCTACATTGCAAAGGGTAACAAGACCTGGCTTTGAAGTATAGTCCAACTGAGCTCTAAATAGAGGAAATTGTGTTCCTCATGTCACCTTCAATATGAACTTACAACGAAAGCACCCTGATTTACAGACTCATCTAACCATATGTGACTGAAATAACTGCTTCTCACTGAAGTGTACAATACTTCAAAACTTCAAAATTATTCAAATCACCAGGAAAAATATGTTTTCTTTATACAGTAATAAAAGATAATTAAATTAAATCACAGAAAATACTGTAGGATAAATAACACTCATGCATCATAAAAATGGACCTCAAAATCTTTACCTTTACCCTTGCTAAGAGAACAGTGCTGGATCGAGCAAACATGTAAGCTGATCCTGAAAGATGCCATATCCTAATTTCTGCCAGAAGTCAACAGAGTATCTCTGCTGTGAACGTATTAGATTGACACTCTCAACCTATTCAGTGGTTCCAAATCACTGTACGTCACTGAGACTATTTTATCTTCCTCATTCAGCAAACTAAGTTTCTAAAATAAGCAAGAATTAATTTTGTCATCATCTGCCTTGATTTGTTTTGCCACACTTTCATCCTTGTTTCTTTGCCAGGATAAATGTTAGTCTTGAACACAAATCCCAGTGTCCCATGGCATCTGCTCCTCAGGCATCTGATTATAGAAGGGTTTTTCAGGTTTTTTGCAGTAGGTGGAAGAAGTCTGCAGGAGGCAGGGCTAAGAGCTGTTTCGTTGTCATATTTATGGTGAGAAAAGCTACAGAGAACTTCACTGGCAGATCTCACAGATGCACTAATACCAATTTTAATGATTCACCTTGTCACCATCTTCTCCTGGAGAACCACTAGGACCAGCAGGACCAGGAAGTCCCACAGGACCCTGTACTCCATCACGTCCAGCAGGACCTTGAGGACCTTTTTCACCCTGGTTTTCAAGAAACAGAAGTGATCCACCATTACCACAGGAGACTAATGGAGATTTCAGTACAGGGAGTCATATTACCACTAAAAAATAATAAGGAAAAGAGAAATAGAAAGGAAACTGTAAAAGGAAGAGAGTGCATCAGAAAATTATACTAAGTAATAATGAAAGCCAACGACAAATACATGTCTACAGTAATGCAGAATGGCTGGGTACAAAGTTTTAATGAAAGAATGATCTGACAAACTTTTTTATTATATCCATTCCCTGCTGTGATAATAACAGGTTCCATTCCCTGCTGTGATAATAACAGGCTTAACCCTGCCTGTATGTTAGAGGTTATGACAATAAATGTTTTACTATTTACTTATTCGTAATGTAAAAGGAATAGATCAGTTATTCTGAGGATGTTTAACAGACAAATACTAGAGTGGGTAAGAGTAACATCCTGGAATGAAAAGTCTGTGCTGTAATAGTTTTATGTGACTCTGTGATTACTTACAGGAGCACCCTTCTCTCCTGCAGGGCCTGGAGGACCCTGAGGTCCAGGACGACCTGGTAGACCAATTGGGCCAGCGGTGCCCGCTGCTCCACGTTCCCCTGGTGAACCCTGGAAAGAAAGAATAGAGTGTCAGACAATTCTGATACAAGCCTGAAAACTGTCGGTGGTTTTCATGATTCGGGTGAACAGGAAGATAACCTGTTACTCACTGAGATTCCATCTGGTAGAAGGATACACATTCAGCATGTGTGCAAGTAAAGGAAAAGGCTAAAAGAAGTAACCTGAAGTTCATACTCCATAGTTCTTATTCAATGCTACTTGGGTTTTTTTCACCCCTTCCTGTATTTGTTCATCATAATACAAGTGTGCTTCAGCCTGTTTTCAAGAACATTTTCCCCTCTGCTTCCAAAATACGTTGCTATACTACTTTGATGAATGAATATTCACTGTATTAAAATACAGAACTAACCCATATAATAATAAATAAGTTTTACTCTAACGTCAATAAGCCTCACTTTTAAATGAGTTATACCATTGTCATTATTGCATTCCTTTCTACCAAAACATCCATAAATGAAAATTTAGTTCCTACATTCCCTCTCAGTTCTTCACTTGAAGCAGTGTAGGGCTTATGGCTGCTCCATAAAAAGCCAACCTTTAAATATGTCAATCTGCCACAGAGCTAGGTTTACACTTGAATTCCTAATACCTCCTTGATCACACAGGCAGATTCTGACCAACCATGAAATGAATTCATGACAGCACAGGGGAAAACTTCCTGTGTCTTGATGGAGGTTAACTGCCATCTAACCTGCTTCTTCCTGTCTCTCCACAAGAGTCAGCAAGTGCAGGGAGACAGAAGCATGATGCTCTCCTGAGTACAGGCAGAGCGTAGAGAATGACGGAACTACTTTGTGCTTTTTTACACCATCACTGGCTGATAACTGACAGGAGATTCAGCTTTGCCAGTCCTCATACTTCCTGAAGATTCAAGATGCTCTACATCCTTCCTGTGTCCTGTAGATAGGAGAGCATGGGAACAAAGACAGTGGGGTATTCTGTTCCATTATATTCTACATGGGAGCTAGCCTCGCGCTTACAAGTCTAATGGGGAAAAACTATTTCACTAACAGCAATAGAGTAAACCTTGAAACCTGTGGGCTCACTGAAAAAACTGAGAAGCAAAGAGAGCTCTTCTCTCACCTATATTTCTATATCTTCACACTTTGGCAGCATCTTTGGGGTTTGTGTTTCAAATAATTCACCATTTTTGCATCAATAGAGCACTGTTAAAGTTTTGTTTGCTGTACAGTTCATATTTCTCTAGCTTTTCAGCTTGACACCTACAAGATAGTTTGTAACACTTTAAAGTGGTAATTTCACATTTCCAGCTGTTGTACTGGAAGGGGAGCGATAGATCATGGAATCATGGATAAGTAATAGGTGGTATAGCCCGACACTCTGAACAGCCAAGTGTTTTTTTCATGTTTAAGAAAGATCAAATTTGCTGGCTCTTGTAACATTGGAATTTTAAAATTCTTTCACTTAGGAGGGCCCAAGATTTTGCTTTTAATCATGATGTACTTTTCTTGGACTGACTATAATAAGGGGCTTTACCCTTCAGGTAACTGTGGCAGGAGAGAATGCTGAACGGTTGCTCCAAATATTTTTGCAAATTCTCTCAGTAAAATATGATTTTGTGTGAGTGTCCAACAAATATTATTTGTGCAGGAATCACAGATGCCTTTATCCTTCCAAGTGCTGGTCTATTTATTCAGGTCAGGGTAGATGCCTAAGTTTCTGTCCTATTTCTATTATTTTAGTTTCTAAGACTTCCGTGAGTTCAACAGGAAAAATGCCATACCCTGCAGATATGCCACCATGGCCTCTGATCTTGTCAGGTCTCATAAGCTATACAAATTTAGGTCACCTCATCAGTAGGATGCAAGAATAGAAAGGAAAAAAATCTAAATAAGTCATGGATTTTTTCTGTATCAGACAGCAGACACTAACAGTGGCCATAATTTCTAGTACCTCTTCTTAATCAGCCAACTTTTCATCTTTATCTTTGCATCATTTTTATTTGTTATGCTTAAACTCCACATGAGTTATGAACAGAAACTACACCTTCTGTTTTCAAGGATCCTCTCATGTCTTTGTGAGAATGGCCTCTGATCAAAGCAGAACACTTTAAATTATACTGACAACTCATACAAGCATTTTAGGCAGCTTCTTAAGTCTGTTCTATCTTTCAATGTTTATTATCTTCCATTGCCTCTCTGTCCCACTCTGAAACAATCCCGTTATATTACTAAACTCCTTGTTAAGCTGTGATCTTGCGGTGGTACTCACAGCCTTGAATTTGTTTATTAATTAAAACAGAATGGAAGTGTCATGCTTTGTCTTGCATTTCTCTTATACAGACTAAACTCATTAGTAACCGTGGGTTTTCTCACTTTCTGTGAGGAGATATGTAACTATAGCTATTTTATATACTACACAGTAGAAGCAACACCTTTTACTGATTAACAAAATGCCTAACAAGCAAAGATCCCCATGACTGAAAAATGTTATCAAATAGAGGAAGATTAGTGCTAGATAGCTTAGTACTGATAATTGGGTAGCCTACAGCTGGCTTACTCTGTGTCCAATTTGGGCACCCTATTCCTAAATAAGCTAATGAAAAATGACTGCTTGACATTCCAAAGAGTTTTCTCTCATTAGCATTCAGCATTCCACACAGTAGTATGAGAAGAGGAGAAAACAAACAGAAGACTAAAATAGCACATAAAAGAGAACTGGTAAAAAAAACCAAACACTGAAAAACCCCCAACACAACAAAACAAACACACACAAAAAAACCCAAAATGAAACAAAAAACCACAGAAAAAAGCCCTTGCTTTGTAGTGCATTCATGCATTTCTTTCTTTTGCCCAAATCCTTCTAAGCACAGTAATTGGCATGCACAGAATTTGGAGCTGTCATTTGTTTGGTATGCTTGCAGATGCATGCACTAGCCAAAAAAGCTTGTAACTGACTATATATGCTACTTAGAAACAATTGGTATTGAACGGGAATTGGAGGAAAATCATTACTGGCATGAATTATTTTCCTACTATAAACGGCAAATGAAGACTCCATTATAAGGACACTCCTGTGTCTATACTCTGTTGGCTAAAAATAGATGGGAAAATATTTTAGGACTATTTGATGCTCACGGTCTGCTATGAGATTCTGTGAAAGAATCCCAAGCTATTGTGGTTTAATTGTTGTCCTCACAGATGCATAACCCAGGATGAAGGGCACCTCTGCATCTTTTTTGGTCTGAAAAACAATTTCAACATAACGAGTTAGTAATTAAAGATGAAATAGGAAACAAATCCCACTGAGGACTTCTGGAATACTCACAGGGCAGCTTGGTGCTCTTTGTGCCTCAAGTGGCACTGCTTGTACTGTAGTGAACTCAAGATATACTTCAAAAGCAATGAATTTTTTACCCTTCAAACTCTCTTTCCGCTCTGCTTACAACTCCTGCTATCACTACATCTCAAAGACTGGAAAAGCAATATGCAAAGAATTCTGAGCTTCCTAAGTGACTCTTTCTATGACTACATTTACCTTAGCAGGAAGTGTGGCCCCAACAGCAGTGGCCTTATAAAGTGAAGAAGCTATTGGTACTGTGCTCCTGACATCTGTACTCGGTATTTCTGGACTATACTGAGAAGAATTTGTCTGGCACTGAACTCCCATTATCTAGTGGGTATTAGAAGCTCTCCTGGAATTTCTCTTCCGGTTTAGTTTCTCCTGAATGCAATACTGTTCATAAGCTCCAAGAGAGCTCCATGATCTGAACCAAAGGATGGTAAATGGGGATGATTGAGATACTCACCTCAAAAAGGCTCTCATTTTTGAAGTAAAACACTATAATCTATAGACACCCCATTAGAATCAGAAAAATGTGGATCATGTGAATTTAAATTCAGAAACACCTCGTAACCTTACATGATGCATATTAATGACAAACTATGATAGCAGTGGTAGAACTATTGTGTGGGCATCTTGTCTGGAAAAGTGGGTTGTGTTAAATGCCAAATACTCTTGATGTCAAGTACACTTGTGCTGTCTGGTTTGTGTATGCTCAGAAGAGTTCTGGTTCACTGCACCTGAACTATCTGCTTGAGAGGTTAGTACAGCCTTAAGGCCTCCTTCAAAAAATCAAGACGTGACCCTTAGATGGAAGAAACTGTTCTGGTCTATGCCTTCTGGATTTTGATTTATCTTTTCTTTTAACAGTTTGGTTCCTCAGATGGGGTGGCATGGTCTCCCTACTACTAGCTTCCCTTCTCTTCCCTTCCCTTCCCTTCCCTTCCCTTCCCTTCCCTTCCCTTCCCTTCCCTTCCCTTCCCTTCCCAGCTACCTTATTTTAGTGCCTTTCAGGAAAGTATAGATAAGGCTTGGTGTTAAGGAGAATTGTAAAGCAAAAATGCAAGTTCTTGATTTAAAGAATAACAGCTTAAAGGCATTAAGAATTCAATAATTAAGTTTAAGAATTTCACTACTGAGTATTAAGAAATCAAGAAGTAAAACTTAAAAGTATGCTACAGCAGATCTTTTCCAATAATGTAGACAAAATCCAAAACCAAGAACCTTATACTATGGTTTGGGGGTTTTTTTCCTCCTTAGTTAATGCATTCCTATCTCAATATGATTTGCAGGGACAGAAGAGAGCTTTATTGTTGAAATACACAGAATTTCATCACTTTTTTTGTCTAACAGGAATAGCTGTGCTGATATTTATTTTTTTACTTCAGTTGCACTGAATGAAAGAATTAAGTTGACAAGATGACTGTCAAAATCTACACAATTGACATTTGGGAATAACTGTACCATGTTTCGAATACCTCTGCATCTGTAGAACGTCCTTGCATAAAAAGATGACAACAGAGAACAGGCAACTTAAGTATATCCTACTTCAAATACTTTCAGCAGATGACTATCAGAAACTGAAGTGAAAGAGGCAGCAGAGGTATAGACAGAAGTCCAAACATGAAACAAAAACTTAAATGTAAAAAGCTCTTGAGCACATGACCACCGAGGAAAAGCCTAGTCACAGTGCTCAAGGGAGAATAATTTACTGTTTTGAGGAATGAGTACATATCACTGCTTCTCTATCATAATCAGAAAGAAAAAAACTATAACCACAAAAAGTTGGCAAATACATTTTTATGCCTACGTTGAGCTTAAAATGTTGAGAGGTAATATTATTGAATGACATGATTTTACATAGCTCTGATTAGCCAAGCAAACATAACTTTTAGTGATCCTAACTATAGGCATGGTTCACACAAGTACAATAAAGTCTTGAAAGCAATGGATGGTTTTGACCATCATAACTTCTAAAACTCTAAAGCAATTGTATAATTTCACTTCATTTCTTTATGAATTCATGAAATGATACTGTTAATAAGCCATTCTTACATTCTTGCATGATCTATTTTCCCATGGATTTCAATGGAAGATTTCGAGGTTTATGTGACTATTTTCTGTATTCTTTTTTACAATGCTCATTATACTTTACCAAAATTCTTAAGCTTGCTCTACAATTTCTCCCTTTTCCTACAGAAACTAAACTTTGAAAAATATTTTTCTCAGTGTGGATGCTCTGGCAAAAATAATCATCCCAAATTCATTCTCTGTACCAAATTTAAAGCACTTCAAAATAGGATTAAGATCTTTACTCTTCTTTAAATGTGTTGAGATCTCCAAACTCTGAGTGAACAACCTCAATAGATTCCAAGAGGACTGTCTTCAAAATTTTGGGTTTGTTTCTGGTTTTTTTTAAGATATCAAATAAATCAGAAATTGTAGAACAGTGGTGGAAAGAAATAGGCTGGGTGACATTTCCCAACCATCCAGAAATTACTGAAGAAGAGGAGAATATTTACCAGTTTTATTCTTTATGGCTGGAAAGTTCTGCTACCCCAGTCTAAACAAAACCAATCTGTTTCACAATGAGTTAAAAGGAATCAACCTTACACATAGGCTGGTATATGGTTGCAAATACTAGATGCAGTAATAAGAGTGCAAATGTAGTGAATGCACAGATTTAAAAGCTATCTTATGCTATGCACGACACCAGCAGTATTCTTTAACATGTGGGTCAACTGCATAAGTGAACTGCACTTCACAAAGGGAACAAAGTTGTACTGGGTTTATGTGTCAAGATCTCAGGGGTGGGAGGAAGGGCTGCAGGGGTGACTTCTGTGAGAAGATGCCATAAGCTTCCCCTGTGTCTAATACAGCCAATGCCAGCTGGCTCCAAGACAGACCTGCTGCTGGCCAAGGCCAAGCCCATCAGTGATGGTGGTAATGTCTCTGGCATGACATAGTTAAGAAGGAGGGAAAAAAGAAAAACTGGGCAAGAGCAATTGCAGTCAGAGAGAGGAGTGAGAACATGTGAGACATACAACCCTGAGACACCAAGATCAGTGAAGGAGGGGAGGAAGCACCGGAGCCGAAATTCCCTGCAGCCTGTGGCAAAGATCATGGGGAGTCAGGCTGTCCCCCTGCAGCTCATGGAGGTTAACTGCAGAGTGGGTATCAACCTGCAGCCTGGGGAGGTTACGAGGGAGCAGATATCCCCCTGCAGCCCATGGAGATTATCAAGGGAGCAGGTATCCATCTGCAGCCCATGGATGACCCCGTACCAGAGCAGGTGGATGCCCAAAGGAGGCACACTGGAGCAAGTCTGCTGGCCGGAGCTGTGACCCCACAGGGAACCCATGCTGGAGCAGCCTGTTCCTCAAGGGCTGCACCCTGTGGAAGGGACCCACGCTGGAGCAGATCATGAAGAACTGCAAGCACATGGGAAGGACCCCTGTGGGAGAAGTTCCTGGAAGACTGTCTCCTGTGAGTGGGACCCCATTCTGGAGCAGGGGAGCAGTGTGATGAGAAAGCAACAGCAGACAGAATATGTGATGAACTGACCACAACCTCCATTCCCTGCCTCCCTGTGTCATTTTGGGGAAAGAAATGGAGAACTGGCAAATGAAGTTCAGCCTGGGAAGAAGGGAGGGGTGGGGGGATGGTGTTTTTAAGATGTGGTTTTATCTCATTCTCCTCCTCTGCCTTGAGCAGTAATAAATTAAATTCATTTCCCCAAGTCAAGTCTGTTTTGCCCATAAGGGTAATGGCTGAGTGATACTCCTGTCTTTATCCTAACTCATGAGCCTTTTGGTGTATTCTTTCTCTTCCTGTCCAGGTAAGAAGGGGAAGTGATAGAGCAGCTTGGTGGGCACCTGGTGGGCAGCCAAGTAAACCCGCCACAACCACAATGAATCCCTTATTGACTATCCATAGATTTTCCATTATGGAAGACCTCTTTCATCTCAACAAGGAGTTAAGTGGCAAGTATTGAGCAACAAATAAATCTTGTGCCTACTGCTAGCAGAAGGCTTCAGATGTTCATAACCTTCACGCTCCTTGAATGTTCGTTAGTATGTAATTAGTAGAGAGTAAGTATTGATCACTTCAAATGACATCTATCTGCTGGTTTACAGCCTGTGTTGATGAAAACATCACAGCATGTTCAGAAGAAAAAAGGTTACTACATAATACTGTTTCTATTTCCATGAGGTTATGATGTTTACTTACAAGTGGGCCAGGCGGGCCTTGTGGGCCTTCCCCTCCTTTCAAACCAGCTGGACCCTAAAAAAATGAAAAAAGGGGGTAAAAAAAAGCTTTTCTCTTACACTGGAAAGTTCAAGAGTTATTTTTTCAAGATATAAAAAGAAGAATGTAGAAATCCAAAGACAAGAAACTGGATAAATTCCTTTTTGCTTATATAGGCAATGATATTTAACAATATTGGATGTTTGATATTTGTTCTATTGCATTCATCTTTCAGCACAGTAGAAGGTTTCATGAAATAAAAGAGTTAATCAATTATTTTCTTGTATTTACAAACATCATTTCAATTTTTCTAGTGCTTATATCATACCTGAGCACCTGGAAGGCCTCTCTCTCCAGGGAAACCGCGAAGACCTGCTGGTCCATCTTTCCCAGG